GGAAATATCGGCGCTGACAAGTATATGTTACCAAATGATTTTCATAAACATAGCGGCTTATAGGCCTACAGATCAATTATAAGATCGCTGAACACATTTCGCGGCCAGACGATAGATTTATTAATGGTTTAGCTTTGGAAATAATGCTCAGATCATAGGCCTGTCTCTGCTAATCCTGTGGTTGGTTCGTTTGCTTTCACACCACAAGCGAATCACACCAGAGTTCGTTTGAAAGCGTACCGAGACCTCCTTGAAGAGGTGGTCTCGGTACGCTTGTTTGGTCCGCTTTTGGTGCGCACCCGAGTGCGATTGCTGCATTCACACCTGCCCAAACGAACCGCACCAAGGGGGAAAACAAACTCTAGTGCGATTCAACCGAACTAAATGAGGCACGTGTGAAAGCGAAAGCACCCCAAGTGCTTTGGAGCATTTCTCAGATCAGAATCTAAATTCTCAAAGCTATTGTTCAACCTCCACATCATCTTCACTTGGGCACATCATTAAAGCAATTTGTCATTGTTTTGAACAAATTGCAAATGCTTTGACACAGTGAAGGAAATTATTATGGACAACTGTCTGCTGTTTCCCACATTATCAATTGCTTATGTCATGCTGATCACAATGTATTATGCCAGTTTTCTGTTGAATAGTCTTACCCCCCAAAACATCTAGGCACAAGTTCATTGCATAAGTCTTGCAAAATGGCTGAACACCTTGTCAAAGTTAAATAAAGCCAAACTTTATTGTCATTCTCCACATTCAAGTATACAGCTGAACAAAATGTTTCCTGACTGTGGTGTATAAACAACATAAGAATAGAAAACAACAAATCAACACATAGTACAGTAGCAACACAACCCTCGAACCATTCACCTGATACACACAATATCATACACAGTGAACAACAAAAATGCACAGTGAGAGGTGAACAGTGCGATATATATAATACACGCCAGTAGATGTATATGTGTAGATATATATATATATATATATATCATCAATCATATTTTCTATACTTGTCTATTAGACTTTTTTTGTAAACGTCTCCTTACTGTAATTGATAAAGATATCCATTGTGATATGGATAAGAATCTGTGACCTGACAGGAACATCAGCCTAAGGAGTGTTTCACATGCTTACATTTATAATTTTGTAATTTCTACCATCATGCAATGCAGAGTCCTTTCTTTTTCTTTTTTGCATACCACATATAACAGACGTAACAGTGAATCCTGTCCAATTTCTTGCAATGTATAACTTTATACTGTTGAGATAGATATGACATATTGAAAAGGTGCAACACTGTGCATTTTCAATCATTGTCATCAAAACGTTAGCCATAGTTTGAATCAGAAAACACTTACAGAGTACACTGTTATATTGATAACATGACTAAACATTTTGACTATCTTGTAAGGATTCTGAGCAAGTTACGGGCTTTTGCAGGAAATCCACTATGTTGTGCTGTTTGTTCGATATGTTTCTAGAAATGCACTTACTGTTTTGCAAATGTTAAGGATGATTAGAGAAATGTACCAAAGCGAGTGAGAAAAACTGAAATATTTAAATTCACATCAAAAGCCATGTTGCCTTTGTGAATATGACAATGTTTAGGCTAACTGTATTCATTTATTTATGAAACTGTATCTGGAGAGTGTAATCAAACCTTTTGTCGATTTTGGTAATGCTTTATGGGTCCATTATTTCCCAAAATATTCCACAGCACTTTACCTGAAAATAACTAATAGGCCCACTGATTACAAGGAAAATGGAGACAGAGTTCAACTGGTTCACTTCTTTTTTTTCAATCAGGCAAGCCTATAACTCAACATAAGAATACATTAATAATAAATGAATAGGTACTTGGGTTTAAATGGAGCTGTTCTTTTGAGAAATTGAGAACTTACTAGAAGATGATTACAAGATGACAGGCCTGTAAAATTACCATAATTTCTGGAACCTATGTGGTTTGTGTGGATGTATTGTAGTTCTTAGAAGGTGTTGTAATGTCTTGAGCAGGTGGACAACGTAACAGGGACGCAACGCTTCAAACCAAAGCCTCAAAAAATAGAGATTAATTAATTATAGATTGCTAGGGGGCCTTGTTTCCCCAACCGTAGTTCCCCAGGGATAATTGAGAGGGTTTAAAGGTGTCCAGTGTGAAATAAGGACTGCTTTCATTTCACTATTATACTCACTTCATTTATCGGAGATTAGAACAATGAGACAATGTATTATACTGGAACTTCTCTCAGACTCCCCATTATCAGATCACAAGTAAAAGAAAAACCCTGCCACTCCCTGCCCTAAAACACCTACAGTGTGTTGTGTAACACACTTGGGTGGTTAATAACAGTTAAATAGCAGCTATGTAGCATGTGTTGACACAAGTGGGTACTGCTGTGGTTGGGTGTTTCTGTTTAGGTCTTGAATTGTTAAAGGTCAGAGTAAACTGTTGGGCGTGTTGCCAGGTTCCATCACCAACGTCATTTGGCAGCTGCAGATGTTTTTGGTATACTCCGGTTGCCAAGTTAGTGACATATTGTGAAACTATTATTGGCCATAAACTGAATTGTGAGGTTGCTGAGGCAGTTTGTGCTAACTACCATCGAGATATTATTGGTTCATGTGATGCTCGACTCTACAGCCTAGCTGACTTTCTCTTAAACCCATAACTGAAGCACGTAAATACTTGCGACAACTACAAAAGCTACTGCATCTTGTTTATTCCTGACTTAAGGCATTTGAACAGTTGTAAATAGAAGTTCAAGGACCACTTCAAGGCAAATAACACACAGTTCCTTACTGTGAACAAATTGGTCCAGATTGCTTACATTCTGCTACAGTCAGCGGTGTTTACAGTCTACCTGGCCAGGGACTGGGCAAATACTAAGACAAACATCTGAAGGATGGGGAGTCTAGCAAGACAAAAATATAGTTTTGGTTAAATTAGAGGGGGGCTAAATTTGAGTTTGACTACATTTGGTTACAGGTTAATAAAAGAGCTGGTATCCAGCTGCTGATATGCTGTGTACATCTGTATGTTTCTCTCTGAAGCAGGTTACCAAATTCCTTTTATTTACTTTCAATGATTTAACTGTTGATTGTTGTTTTGCATATTTACACCATGTAAAGTTTACAACTGTTAAACACTTCTATTGGGGATTGGGGTAAACATCGAAGTAGTTTCATAGTTTCATACATTTATCAGATGCTGTGTTGTTTGCTGCCAACACTTTTTTAGTAGGCCTATCACTTATCCACAGTAATGGGAGTGTCTAGTATGGAAGAATCACACTTAAGTATAATTTTATGAAAGGCTACATGTAAGCTACTTTACTTGAGCATTTCCCTTGTTTGCCACTTTACTACATTTTTTAGGGACATACTGTAGCCTACTTTTAATTAGACTAGATTTATTGACAATCCAAAAATATAAAATATGATAAATGAATTGCGATTGTTTTATACGTTAAGCATATTTAGCATTAAATAAATGCTGACTTTAATGGAGTTTGAGAAGTAACTTCTTCCAGCATTTACCACTGCCCAGTCATAATTAGGCTAGGCTATGACAATCACAGTTAAGTCCTTCACATTTGCATAGCCTGCATGGCCCCACAACGAAGAGGCTTGGACCAGCACTGAGTATTGCCATAACTCGACAGTTGACAGTCATGTTGTCTCCCCCCTCCCTGCCTGGTGGGATGCAGGCACCAGTCTCTCTTGCAGGAGGTCACTATAGAAGTTGACCTTAGAAATGTTCCTCACACCTCCTCAGCCTCTGCCGCCACTCCCCCACTCACGCCCAGCACCAGATGGGAAGTGTAGCTGCATTTTTAAAGCCTGCACGCAGGGTTGCAGGCTGTTGCGCTGGCAGTGGGGCTGAAGGAATGAAATATTCATGGAGTCCAAAAAATGAATGGACACCCCGGGACGGAGAGCGTGCCGATTTATTCAACTAAGACCAGGCCTCATTAAACTGCTGGCGGCGAGGCAGGTCACGGTGATTTTCTTTACACAGAGAAAGAGCGAGAGAGATAGCCTACACAGAGAGAGAGATAGATATATACAGAGAGAAGGAGAGAGAACTGGGCACTGAATGCTAAATTTGTCCAAGTCATCATCATCTTAGCATCCCAGATCTCCCACCGGACAGGTCTGCGCTGATGCTGAAGCGGTTCCTCTCCTGTAATTGATGACCTAATGAGTGATTAGCTCTTGTGTCAGAGCAGTGAGTGGCAGTGTGAAAGCTCAGTAGTCGCTGCGCGCGGCATATGGGAAACGTGGATGACACGGGTTGTGACAGAGGTGTGTAGGTGCCAGGGGACAACAGCTGAAAGGCACAGGGGCCACGTGACTAATCAAAATGTGTAGCCTAATTATTCTGACTTGATTTGGTCTCGACATAGGCTATGAGATAAACCCTTCACCACATAACAACAACAATGATGATGATAACAGCAGTGGGGCCCTTTTTTATTATGCGTGTTTTGATCCTTGTTTCTTGACGTCGTTCATAAATCGCCTTCAGACAACATATCAGTTATCATGGCTCTGCCATAGACAGGTGTGTCTCAAGCCTTGTCTTCCACCTGTTCGTTTTATTATTCTTCTGCAAATAATCCGCGAAAGATTGCCCATCTTTTACTGTTTGTTTGCGAACAAACCTCAGCGCTACCAGAACCCTCAAGGGTCACACCCAATTAAGGAGTCAGTTCCTTTGCTCATGAGAAAGATGTCCAAATTCATTTTCCATGGAGTGGTGGCAGTGGCGGACGTCTATGCAGGATGACGACGATGATGATGATAGTTCAGCCTTGAATTCGTTCTGAACACAATAAACCAAATTTACACAATATCTGATTAACTTAATCTTTTTAAATAAATAATAATTTTTAAAACACCTTAAAAAATTGAATCATAAATTATGTGTAAAAGGTCCAGTGTTTAAGCTATTTTATGTAGACCTATAAATGCAAAGAACAATTTTGCCATGTACACTATATACTTTATTTAGTATGGAAAACTTTAACAATAAAGACAACAGCCATGCAGCACTATACTGAACAAGCTCATTAAATATCATCTTTTCCTAAGCTTTTCAAACATATATGCCACGCTCTTAAATGATTAATTATTCCGGCTCCCCTCTGTGCGAGGATAATAACAAGGTCGTGATTGAGTTACAATGCACAATAGGAGAAAAAAGTCGAGCTTTGTTTAATTGTTCCTTGACAGGGTCAGAGGGGATTGTGCGATAGGCTGCAGGGCTGTCAGAGCTGTTGGAGCGCTGGGAGTGACACCAAGGTGACCGAGGGGAGGCTGTATAAATTGCTGGCGCAGGGCAAACCACTCCAGAGAGGAGAGCATCAGCCAGAGTCTTCTGTGTGACCTTTCCCCTTTCCGCGCACGACCACAGGCCATTACAGTGATGACTGCGAAAGCAGAGCTATCAAGCTGGACTGAGTACCCAGAGGATTTCACCCTGCAGCGCAACCTGACCCAGATCAACTCCAAGACATGGATTTCTTCTAAATCTCTCCATGCGTTCTCCAGGAGGGACGCGCACGGAGCTGTAGACGCAAGCCTCTCACTGGACAAACTTGCGCCAATGAGTAAACTTCCTGACTGCGTGTCCGCTACATGCATCACAGAGGCAGATTCTGACAAGGCAGCAGAGGGAGGCAAGGTGAGCCACTTTGGACCCCAGAAACACAGGCGCGTCGCAGCCAACGCCAGGGAGAGGAGGAGGATGCACGGCCTGAACAAAGCGTTTGACGAGCTGAGGAGCGTCATCCCCAACATGGAAAACGAGAGAAAGTTGTCCAAGTATGACACCCTTCAAATGGCGCAGATTTACATCACAGAGCTGTCGGAGCTCCTGACCGGTGTGGTGCACCCGGAGTGCAGGAGTCCCCGTCCAGGCTCAGCGGAGAAGACCGCCAGAAGGAATCTGATTCACTCTCTCCCGAACCCGCTGGCCGGAGAACAGCGGGAGCCGTGTGCCCCCGTTGGCCACCTTATAATACTTGGCTCTACATCTGACTTGGGGTCAAATAACTCAACGACTTCTGACGGGGAATCTTCGCACCTCAGTGACATGGAGGAAAGTCAGAATGGAAGACGCTAAGAGAAAAGCACCGACTTCTCACTGTTTACGCTGCTGTGTCTGTTCAAGAAGGAGCCAGGAGAACCACAATTTAGGCTACATCTTCTAGAAATGTTGATCACGTGAGACAGTCCTGTCATTTATATAGCTTAGATATTGCACTGCAAATTAGAAAAGCAGGTAAAACTCAAAAACACCTACTGAGATCTTGAGTTTCTTTACTTCCTAAGGCCACGATGAACTCCCAGAGGCCTATTTCTAATGCACTTTATGGCCTGAACCATCACTAAAGACATTTCCTGTGTCATTAGTGACATTTGTCTAAATTAATAACAATTATTTTGATATTTATGTATAGCTATGGGGTGTTTTATGAGATTGTTTTGCTACAATAAAGATATACTTAAAACATGATTTGCATTTTAAGTTGTTTTTGTATATGTCATTTTTCTTTGTCAGCAATACATTGCTGTAAGTCAGTCTACTAAATTACATTTCAATATTTCTACTATGTGAAGCAGACTGAAGGGTCTATGTCCAAAACACAACTAGGGTTCTTGGTCTTTCCATTATGCATAACTGTTTTATCTGCGAGAAAACCATCTTTATTTTCATTAAGAAAAAACATACATTTAAACATGCTAACTCCACAATCTTTGTTTTACTCACTAAATGTACAAGAACAACAAGGAAATATTTTTTCCTAAAGCAGTCCAGTATCCATTCAGCTCATCTAATGGCAATGTCATATTGATGCTGCAGCATAAATAGATTCTCTAACATTTCAGCAGTGAAGAACAACTGAATCCAAAAACATTTCACAGAATAAAATGTATTGCAGATGTGTTTTTCCTACAACTGGCAGATAAATAGTGGTAGAAGAAATATTTTACTTAAGTAAAAGTAGAAACAGTGTGAAAATACTATAAAAAATAGTCAAAATTTGACTTAAGTGAAAATACAGAATTAAAATAAACTTAAAGTACCAAAAGTAAAAGTAGCCTACTCATTATGCAGAATGGCTGGATGCCTCACTGTGTGTGCTTCACTAATGTTCCAGCTGGCAAATGTGGGGCTTTTTTAAACTACTTTAAGTACTACTGGGTAGCTTAATCTGTAAAAAAACATAATTTATTAGTTGATTACATTTTCTATTAATAATTTGACTCTGCAAAGTAACTAGTAGACTAACTAAAGTTCTCAAAATAAATGCAATGGAGTAAAAAGTATAGTAGTGGAGAAGAACTATAAAGTAACATTAAATTGAAATACATACTATACTACAAATTGTACTTACATGCTGTACTAAATGTACCTAGTTGTATTCCACCAATTCAGATAAACATACAAACATCTGCAAGCCAAGTTCTGCTGCTTAATGTTCCCAGTGGAGGGGATTTCAATGAAATAAATAAACTAATTAGCTTTTATGACAGTCTATCATAGTAAACTGCTCCCTCTAGTCTGTCTGTTAACTAATAGCCTACAGAGGAAATGTGGGGCTGCCCGCTCCGGAGGGCACCTGGAACTTTGCCAGGTCCTTGGAAATGATTTCTGCCAGTCTGTGTTTAAAACTGCCAGGGGCCTCTGTGGGGCTAACGTGGGTGGAGCTGATGGCCTCCTCCATCTCCTTCATATCATCCACTGCCTGTGCCTGTGCACTGCACCCTGGCTGGGTGTAGTTATTCACAGGGGGCTGACGCTGGTATCGGGTCTTGGGTGGGACGTAGGATACAGATTGGGGAAGGGTGCAGGGAGGAGGCTGGAGAACAGGTTGAGGGAGGGGTGACAAGAAAGGCTGCAGCTGGAGATTTAAGGGATCATCAGCTGTTTTCAAATCTGAATAAATGCACTCTGAATCGTCTGTCTCAGATATGAACTGGTCTTTTCTGATCACAGGAAACGTGGCTCTCCTTATGTTGTAATAAATGTTGTCCTCCATGTCATTATTCAGGTTAACATTCTCCAAGGAATGACACTGTTCATCCTCGTCCTTACCTTCATCTCCCACAGCCTCCTTGCTGTTAGAAAGATATGGGTTGAGAAGAGATAGCTGCTTTGTATTTAGTATAGAAGTGTCATTAATAGTAGAGTAGTGGCTGGCAGACTCGTCCTCATCTGCAGAATTGTAGGCAGGAGAACCAGAGGGTTGGTTGCTTTTGGTTGGGAGGATATTAGAAGACCCATCAGATGATGATCTTCTGTGGACACTGAGTGGCCGGACAGAGGACGTCCTCTCCACAGAGCACTGATTTAATATAGCCTGGAAGATCTGGGGACCATGCCTGGACAGGAAGATGAACACTCCTTCTCCTGACTCACAGCGACGGCCTGCTTCAATGCTGAAGCCACCCTGCAATCACATCCGTTGATACACATCTTAAAGGAATAGTTTTACATATTGGGAAATGCTCATTCACTTTTTTTCTGAGAGTTAGATGAGAAGATCGATACCACTCTTGTGTTTGCATGGTACATATGAAGCTACTACCAGCAGCTTGTTAGCTTAGTATTAAACTGGAAGCGGGAATACAGCTAGATTGGCTCTACTGTAGACTGTATAAAGATGGACGACATGACAACTCCCCAAAAGGGAAGCCAAAACACCCCCCACTCCATGTCAAATACCTTTTTCCCCAATGTTGTTTCCAGTCACTTTAGGTCATCTTTATAACGCTGGTGTATGTTCCATTGTTAATTTTTCCTCATAAGTTTGGTTTTGATGCTAAAAAAAGGGGGTTTAACATCATGATTGACAGCGGAGCCCTGCTTGCAATTTAAGTTAAGTCAGGCTGGAACTCAATACCGCGGTTCCAACGCCGATCACTACAGTGCAGACTCTGGCTCTAAATGACATCCCCAGCGTAACATGGCAGCACCCCTATCTGGGAATATTTTTGCTTTATTTTTAAATAGTGGGAGGAAGTGGAGAGGCGTTGTCCATCTTTATATACAGTCTATCGGCTCTACCATAGCTGTAAAATGCTTTATCTTTTTTGTTAAATCTGTACAATTTGCCTGTTTAGCTTAGCACAGAGACTGTAAACTGAGGGAAATAGATACACATTGCTACAAGTCATTGTTACGCTTCACTTTTGGTACCAAATATACAAAAGATGTAATATGTTAATTAATAAGCTTTAGAGGTGCTGGCAGGTGGATTTTGTTGTCTTTGGACAGGTTAGCTTTTTCCCTATGTCTCAAGTCTTTGTGCTAAGTTAAGCTAAGCTAACTAGCTGCTGGCTGTAGCTTCATATTTACCATACAGATGTCCATGGTACAGATGTGAGAGTGGGATCCATCTTCTCATCTAACTCTTGGCAAGAAAGCCAATAAGCTTATAATAAAATGTAAAAAAGTATAAAATGTATGAAATGTCAAACTATTCCTTTAAACAAATGTGAATAATCTGAGCTGAATATCAGGTTTATTGTGACTATGGTGATGCAGTTTGAATTCATTTGGGTATCTGATTTGGGGGAAATTCAGAAGTACCTCAACCTGTCCAAATTTGCGTAAGAGCCTGTACGGCCAGCGATAGATGGTGTGACCAGTTTTGATGTCCAGCAGTATCACAGCCTCTTTTTCTGGGGAGACCAGATACTCCCCAGCCAACTGGCACTTCCTGGATGCCTCCGTGCTCTGGACAGTCACTTGGTACTGGTTTGATGGAAGGGTCAGATCTAAACATGAGAAGATATAAAAATATTTGTCACTTTAAGTAAAACATCACAGCACACTGCTGTTAGAGCAGTGTGACTACACATGAAAGTACTAGAGTTTCCATATGAGGTCTGAGGAACCATGCATCAGCAAAAAGAATAAATGTGCACCAAACACATTCTCATACAGTAAAATACTAATTTTAAATTGCTTGCATTCTACTAATCTCTTCAAGTGACTGGACTGCCTGTATTTTTCAGGAGAAGTGTAATCCATTAGGAAATAAAAATAGATTAACTTGTGTAAGCTAGAGCTTGCTAACACCATTACATTCTAGCATTCAAATGTGAATAAATTAGTGGCTCTACTGCTCACACATATTCAGTGTTTCAGCTGATATCTTGAATTTATGATACCATGACAAATAAACCTCACTGCCAGCTTTTCCTGGTCTTTTTCCTTTATTATAATAGGGTCACCAATTCAGTCTTATTATTAAATGATGATTCCAGTTTCTAAAAACTTGGGTTTCTAACTTCTATCTGTTATGACAACAGTGTGCACAATAGAGAAATTGCTAATATGAGAGCGCTGCAGTATCACTACTCTGTCGTCTGATGAGGTGAGATACACTACTTATCAGAACTGAAGAAGTCCCTTGGATGAGGGACGAAACGTCTTCCAGTATCTTCAACCAAGTCCAGTTGCCCTTGACTTTAACCTTCCTTGGATAACTATGACCTGGATGACTGAGAATCTTCACAGACACTACTGATCAGACAATCTAATAAATTGTAAATTTGTAAATTAAATGTAATGTAAAAATGTAAATTAAATTAAAAATTAATTAATTAAATTAATAAATAAATAAAAGCCAAGAATTTGGCAAGATTATCTAAACCACTTTTTGCACGTGATTGTCTGATTGGTCACGTTTCTTGCCCCATATGACTGGGGAAAAAACTATGTAAATAAGTTCTTAAAAAATCTGATTAATCCTTTAAGATAACCACCTGGCAGGAGAGAAGACAGTTTATGCTGGTTTCTGATGAGAACCCCTTCAGCTGGCACTCACTAAACTGAATGTTATTTTTGATCTTATTGACTGATCAGCTGTCGTCTGCAGACTGACGAGCATTACCAGTTTTCCAAGATGAGTAAATTTCATTATCCTCCATGACCAAGCCATTTCCTCTCTCGAAATCCCCTTTGTCTGACTCTCCAGGATCCTTCTGTAAACACAGTGGCATGGTAAACATTACACGGAGTGTACACCATCCTCTTATCACTGTTTTATGACTTCAAAGAGGTCAAATGCAAGAAAGAACATAGCTTGTGCAAGCACAAGAATTAGAGAAGTGAAGTGACAGAAGTTACAGATACTGTACTTCCTCATTGTGCTATCTCTGAGTAAGTTGTGGTTAAGGTTTATCCCCACCTTTCACTGATGATAAGACTACTCTGATATAAAAATAAAAGGTGAGAGTTGCACTGGTCAAGAGGTACGAGCAAAGATGTGTGATACCTGGAAGGCTAGAAGACAGAGGGCACTTAGCCAGTCCTGGCTTGTCGTGGAGGCCATAGTGTAGTTGCACTGAGTGGTATTTAGGTAGAAGGCTGTGTGCCCAGGAGGGCAAGACTCCTTCGGAGCAGGAGTGACACTGAGGCAGTCACTTAGACGTACCACTTTTCTCTCTGGCGTTTTCTGTCTGCTGACCTTCTTCTGGTCAGTCATAGCATTGTTGTCAAGTAGGCCTACAGTATAAAGCTCCAACCGCCCAACCCCTGTGGAGCTGGGTTTAAAAAGCACCATCCGTATTTTCCGCCATGTTCTCTATTGTGGATGACAGACGGAAAAATGGAAAAGGTTAGTGAGTGAATAAGTAGGTTCTCTGACACATTTCTAGAGTGGTTTAGATCTTGTGTGATTGTGTAATAATCAACAACATGGCATCTGTTTCTATTGTTACACAGATGCCACTCAGCTCTCCATTTCTGCTTCATATGGTGATCTCACCCCTGCTGACATTGTTGATTTTGTTTAGAGATTATGAAGGAAAGGGCCAAACGAGAGAAACTCAATGTCTATCTTACTACTTACATTATCTCTGGCTAAGAAGGTGGGGCCAACTATAGGTAGTGAATTTAACTTTGAAGTACACATTCAGAGCACCACTACACCTTTTACCACTTAAAGAGCATGCAAGGTCACACAATGTCTATCACAGGCTTTCTGGGAAGAACATATGCATGATTCTTGTAATACACCTTTCGCAAAGTGTTATAATACTGCCTGTAAATTACAGCCACTCTTTTTATTCTGATGACCTCATGAATGACCTCAGTGATGCTGCATTTAGTTCATTCGCCCCCAGACTCTAGATCAGCCTCACGTTAGACTGGAGCGTGTCTTATAACAAGGGGGAAAAAAAACCTGCTTTTACCCATAGGATCGTTTTCTGTATGTTACGTCAGCTACAAAACATGTAGCACTTCTTGTTTTTGGTGAATTTCACATTAATTGAGAAGCATGTAGTGTTTCATGTCTTTAAATATACCATATACATGTACAATGTATATGGTATATACAATGATGTTTTTTGTTTCTGGCAACAAATATTGGTCCTGCGTGGTGTATTTCTGTCAAATGGCAAAAGGTGCTCCTATGAAAGACCATTCAGTGCCACATTACTTTCCCCAGGTTCTCAGAAACCAGATATATGTCAATCTGCAGCTACATTTAACATTTTGTGAAGAAGTGATACAAACCATACAGAAGGGATTTTCACAAAGCAAGACTTGATCCAAAATACAATTAGTCACACCTTAGGTGTCCACATCATCTGAGGAGCAGTGTGATAAGATCTTTATTTATTACCAAAATTAGGCAAAGAATAATCTGATTAGTGACTGAAATAGGCAGCAGAAAACAAACAAGCAACTCAGTTTTAAGTGAAACCAAATTAATAAATATGTAACCAGCCTCAGTTATTATTTCTTTTAATTAATAGTATCTAGTATAGGAGAACCAATACCAGATTTTAACTACCGAAGTCATGATTCAGTCTGAGTTTACAGCTGCAGTGGGGCTACAGTAAATGACTGTGGAGAGATTTATGCGTGATGATTTGGGGCTTAATTGAAATCTTGTCAAACAGAATCATCTCCACAAAGACCTGAACAAGAGTGCCACTCTGTACTCACTACTGTACAGAGGTATGTCCTGTCTTCTGAAGCAAGTCAACAACCTGTTCATCAGTTTGGACAATTCAAGTCAAAGAAAGTATTTGAAGGATTGCTTACATGCATGACATTGCAGTTACCACCCTGTGGAACATATTGCCTAACATTTGAAAAGAGAAGGGGTAAAAAGCTTACACCATCAGAGGTTTTGTATAACGCAGAATCTTAAATTCTGCTGAAGCTTCTTCGATTTTTGCCATACGCAAGAGTGCAGGGGTGGTGGTTTGAACAAATACTGAGAAATTTAGACTTTCAGTAAATACTAAAACATTTGACAACATAGTTTGAGAGGCATCACCGGTCATTAGATTTGTCTTTGTTTTTACTAAACGCTCAAAAGGTTTTGGTAGCGCACTCTTGGCCCCCACTGTTTACTAAAACTTCATTTCAAAAAATAAAATGAGTCACAATATTCACTTTTTCACAAGGTCGCTGAATGAAATAAAATTTCTATTAAACTTACTTTTCCAAACTTGACCCCCTGAAGGTACACCATCCCTTCCTTGAAGATGAAATCCATGCTTGTAAGCTTCGTCAAGCTTCTGCTCTTGTACAACACTTGTTGCTTTGTGGTCGAGGTAACTACCCAAAACGTTATAATTAGGTTTTCTACGCTACCAGAATAACTGTTTCCTCTACGTCACCAGCTGATTTCATTCTGTTGTCTACTTTTATTAGTCCAATTGGGCTGACAGTCAAGATCTCTCTGATCTGCAGCTTAACTGTCGCAAAAGAAAGGACACACACGGTGTGTGCTGCTTGAGTCAAACTTCCCTTCGCATTATTCTGCTTGTTTTAGCAACTTCCTCCCCATACAAAACCAGTACCACACCTCTTTATTTTTTCAGGAAGAGCACAGAAGATCACAGCAGATAGAGTGGTTTTATTTACAATTAGAGTATCAAAAATGTATGTTACAAAAGCTACACATACAGGACAAGTATGATTTGTCAATTCGGCAAAAAAAGTAACAAAATTCTTTTTTGTCTGACAGACCTACAAACTATGTAAGGTGGTGGGTAAAAGTACACTTCCTTCACTTCAGTGACATGACATAACTGTGAAGCTTCCTCAGAAATGTTTCGTCATGAAAACTTCTTAAAAGTCCATTGAGCTATGAGCCAGGTAGTCTTTCCGCCCGATGTTGGTGACCTGCTTGGTCTGCATGGCCTCCAACTTCGGACAGTCTGTAATACGATGACCCAGACCACCACAAAATGTACATCCCCTCTCTCCTGCGAACAAACACAAGATTTAGGTGCGTTAGAAAGGGTTTGCAAACTCCCCACATTTGGTTCTGTGAATTGGAGATGAACTGATCTGATCAGCTTAGAGGAAAATTTAAAAAGTAAACAGAGTTATTATTGAGTTCCCCATAAGTGCGAAGCAGGTAGAAAAAACATGTGAATGTAGATTTGGAGTAAACAACTCACCTCCGATGTCCAGCATGGTCTCGTCTCCAGTCTGGAGAACCTGGAGGACTGGAGGAACCTTCTGCTTCGCTTCAACTAGCAGGGCTTTAAGATCCATCAATACTGACTCATCTGTGTGGAAAGATATGCATTAAACACTGAATTAAGCTAACTACATCCACTATAACACATTACAAATATTTTGAAAAGCACTACTCCTATACATAATTTAAATTGAATCGTGGTTGGTAGTTCTCCTTACCACAGCCTTTATTGATAAACGTAGTGGCAATACCAGTCTTGCCCGATCGTCCAGTTCTTCCAATTCTATGGACTGAAACAAGATCCATTTCAGCAAACCAGCTTGAGCAATTTAAGGAGAACTGATGTGTAAGAACCATTTTGGCACATATAGTGATTTGCTAAATTGTTGTTAATAATCACACGCTATATGCTCATCAGTTCTTTGTGTTTTGATATTATGTTGATTCTGTCGAGTGGGTGGGTGAGTAATTTTGCTGCACATTGGTAGTATGGAAAAAGGAACTTGTGAGAGGTTACGAGCAATCTGCAAGCACGTTTTTGACTGTGTTTTGCAAAAAAGGTGTGAGTAATCTTTGGTGGACTGCACTGGGCTGGTAATGGACCAAGCCTTTTGTAAAGTCTGGATTAAAAGGTTCACGCAAACCTTTTCTTGACTCTTCTGGATTTTTATGTACATTAGATACTCCTATAGTGTGGAGATTTGGACACACAGAAGTGGACACGTGTCAGGCTAAGATAGACTACTTGCAGAATAGTGGACTTGGACTTGTCATTGTAAAACAACCACAATATGATGATACATAATGTACCAATTTTAAGAAGGCCAAGCTATCCATATATCTTCTTACCATAATTTTCTATCTCCTCAGGCATGTCATAATTCACAACATGCTGTATAGCTGGGAAATCCAGACCCTTGGACGCAACGTCTGTGGCAACCAAAACGTCTTTCTTTCCTTCTTTAAATGCCTCTATTGCTTTTGTTCTTTCTTCCTGATCTGGAAAACAATCAACACATATTACATAAACAGCATTTTGCAAGACAATGACAAATGGAAACATAAGGTCTGCAACACGTTCTATGTTTTGGAAATGTTAAGCAAACTGTGAAGCAGAAACTGTAATATTTGCAAGCAGGATGGCATCTGGTGGTAATGATGAGCAACTACAAGGAGGTTAGAGAAGAGTAAGAAAGGTGTGTACAAATGATAAGTACTCTGAGATGAACTTGCTGCTGGGTTGGACGTTCCTCCAAATACAGTAATCCTTTGCAAGCACTATTACTATGTACTGATTGATGTGTATTTTAACGGTAAGAATTGAGTTCTGCGTACCTTTTCCTCCATGGATGGCCACTGCCTCTACTCCTTTTAGCAGCAGATACTCATGGATGGCATCTACATCAGCCTTCTTCTCAGCAAATATCAACACCTGCAAATATGAACAGACAATATTTTGTAACATTTGACATGTCTGAGTTTACTGACTTTTGGTATATCAATGTCGAAACACGTGGAAGTACTAACAGGGGGTGGGGTTTTCTGAAGACACTCCAGTAAATACACCATCTTGGCTTCCTCTTTGACGTATTCCACTTCCTGCACACACAAAAGTATCGTCATCAAATCATTCAGTTCGCACAACTTTTATATCAGTGAGTTTTGTAAACTGAATGTAATAATTATCCTTGACAAAGACGGAAAGCCTCTTTCAACTAAAAATTAACGTACCTGGATGACATCCAAGCTAGCAGCACCGGCCCTGCCCACGTTGATAGTGATGGGTTTGACCAGCGCACTCTTGGCAAAGTTCTGGATCTTCTTGGGCATAGTGGCACTGAAAAGCAGAGTTTGTCTTTGTCCCTAGATAAAGAAATAACAAAATATAGGGCTTTTCATGTCTGGCATCTTCAAAAAGCCAGGCTATGTCTCCCAAGCTCAGTTTTCATGACAAGAGTTTAGTCTAACAGGCAAACTACGGGGAGTGCTTTGGTGATGATGAAACCTGCTGCCTCATGTATAAATGGTTGTGGTGGTTTTCACGCAAATGCGGGATGTATACTGTCTACTACTGAAACTCACCAAATGTTTCAAAATAACATTTCCACTTGCTTTGTAAAACAGCTTTAAAGGACAAAATCTACTGCTTTGATTATATGGTTTGCTGACTTTTGGAGGTCACTGCTGCAGAGGAGGACCTCACCTTGAAATAGGAGAAGATGGTTCTGATGTCTTCCTCAAAGCCCATGTCAATCATCCTATCAGCCTCGTCCAGAGCCAAGTAGCGGCAGATGTCCAGACTCACCATCTTCTTCTGCAGCAAGTCCATCAGTCTGCCTGGGGTTGCGACCATCATGTGGACACCACTATAACCAAGAGGAGATACAGGTTCAGATGGGAATGAACTCAAATTTACTGCTTGTATTTTTAAAATACAATATTAGTGCCTAGGTCCTGAGGTAAAATGTTCATGTTTGCCAGTTTTGCTCCTCTCCGAATGATTTCATATAGCCGAATCGGGCTTTTTAGTTTTTTGCTTTACACTAGTTTAAACTGAAATTCTGGATAAAAGACAGAAACAGATTTTTTCTCTCCCTCACACGAATCTCGATTACTTACTGTTTTACAACCTCCATCTGCTCTTTGACAGACATTCCTCCAATGCAGAGGGCAGTGCGCAGCTGAGGAGCTCCCTCCTCCTCCAGCAGCTTGCAGTAGTACTCGATGATGCTGTGAGTCTGCCTCGCCAACTCTCGCTGGAGTAAAGGGAAAGGTGTTCAAATTAGATATGCTTAGTTACAGAAAAAGCAATTGTCTGAAATGCAAACAGAAAGAAATGCTGTAGAATTATTTTAGGATGCTGAGAAAGGCTCATCACTCTTTCTTTTGTTAATCTTGGCCGGCCCATGAGACCTGTTATTTGTTTTCAGTTGTTATATGTTGTTTTTCATTTTTTATTTAATAAATCTTTTGCAACTCCTTGACTTTTGATTATGTTAGACCTCTTCTGTAATGAGTCTTTCTGGGGGTCGTAACAGACTGTCACTCACAGTTTTCAAAAGGATTCAACGTTATGTGTGAGCAGGGTTTACGCAGGAACCCTGAAGTAATAATTATTACCTTTTGAGACCCTTTCAATACTTTTTAAGTATCCCATTAGTCTGTTAAAACTGTATTTGTAATCACAAATCAGACTTCATACTATTTCAAGCTGGGTCATCAATTAAATTTTTCTTACTGAGGGACAGATGATGAGTCCATATGGTCCTTCTCTCTTGAAGAAAGGCAGCCGTTTCTCCTGCTCCAGGGCAAACATGGTGATGGGCAGAGTGAAGACCAAAGTCTTACCAGAACCAGTGAAGGCTATGCCAATCATGTCTCGACCTGACAGACTACAGACAACCACCGTCAATTCATGAACAATTTACATGCACATAACATTCATTACATATTTTATAGTCTGTTTATTGCCCTTACACTGTAGGGATTCCTTGTATTTGAATTGGTGTGGGATGCACAATGCCCTTCTTTTTCAGACCTTTAAGAATTGCTGCAAAAACAAGAAACCAAGAAGCCAGTTGTTAATGACGTCCACTAAAGGCCTACTACATAAAGACAAGGTGTTTGTTTTTTTATGTGTGCAAGAGGAAGTGTGTTGTAACCTGGTGGAAACTTCATCTCCCTGAAGCTTTTGATTGGAGCAGGGATGCCATCGCCATCAACCAGGATGTGAAACTTCTTCCTGACGCGCTCGTGTCGGGTGGCTGGCATATTCAGGATGTAGCGTGGTGGCTTCCAGCTGTAAGTAAAATCTAGGTTAAGCAAAAAGTTTTTTTAAAAACTCGACAAACAGTGTTACTTTTTAGAATTCACTGATCACGATCTTACCTTGTTTTTATGGGATCATCATATATGATACCTTTGGCCATCTCCTTCACAGACATCAGAGCTGATAGAGGAGTGGTGAAAGTCCACAGAATTAGTTTTGCAAGTTTAGAACATTTTGCACCAACTGTTATAACATCTATAATTTTATCAAAGGAAATACGATTAATAATTCAAAATGGCTTCACAGGAAATGACAACTTTATCATTTTACCTCTGCCTTCTGCAACACTCTCAAGAATCTTCTCTTCCTCTTTCAGCTGCTTCTCCTTGGCTGACTCCTTACGGGCTATAGACACAAAAACATAAAGGAGGTGAGATAAGACAGAACCACTACGGTTATGCATAATGAGCCGTATAATGGCAATATGTTAACTAAGTCATAGTGTGAAAAGAACTGAGCAGACAACAATCAAAATCCAGAGTGGCTTGTGTGGTGTTTGAACTGGATACCTTCTGCTTTTTCCTTGAGGTGCTGATGCTGGTCAAGGAGACTGACATTTGAGCGTGGACCAAGACCCTCGTCCTCATCCCTCTGCTCCTCCCCACTGTCCTTCTGCTCCTCGTCCACTGCCTTTCCTCGCAGACGTAACATCTTTTGTAGCTGTACGGTACACGTTAAAAAAATGCCTTAAATAACTGGATTGGATGTTGATATACATTTGGAAAAGCTAAATACAACTGTATTTTAAAAAATATAGAACTTTAACAGTAATGCTAGGTTCCTCTAGAAAAATCTATGTTAAACCGACCGTGCACTGCTGATCAGTGAAGCACCGATCACGCTTTTTCTCTCCTGATACTGATTCATCAAACTCGGGTTGTCTGCCAATACGGATTCCTGGTCCAAGTTCTACTTTTTTGCAAAATGTAAAATCTATATAGCTCACTGTGTGGAACTCATTGGCATCATTTTTGTGTAAGCTAACATCAGGCCAGGGATTGCCGTGGTGCTGCCTTGGCTGAAAAATGGAGTGAAAACTTATAATGATATTGACAAAGAAACTGTATCAGGCCAAAATCCCTTATCTGCTTAATAAGTTCTTGGCCCCAATTGGCACATCCTTAATAATGTCTAAAATGTCAAACAGGACAGTGTACAATTACTTACCATTTGTTGTTTTCTTATTTTGACTGGAACATATGGAACATAATCATCATCCTCCGTTCCCTCTGAACCTGACCTTTCATCCTCTGCATGGAATCTCTGTACAAAAACATCCGTATTATTAGAAGAATTATTTCTTGAGTAGCATCACCACTTTCACAGCATTCAGCCAGAATGGCCTTTAAACACATCCAATGCAATTCCTTCTAAGAAAACGTAAACATACAGGATACCATGCAGAAACCACAATTTAATTTCATAATGTGATATTTAGTGGATGCGATTGATTTGTATATGCCAGAGACATAGTGTTGGCATGTGCTTTATGGATATACATTTGCACAGTATGGCAATAGGATTTTGACACAGATATTAGGCTGTCAAATACACTTTTTTTTTTTTTTTTTTTACATTATATTAACTGTTAGCATCATATAGCCTATGTCTTTGTTTTATACATTTCGTTAAGAGGCTGTTCAATTGTAAACTTCTCAATTAGCCAAAGGGACCTTCATTAGCCTTTCCTTAAGACTGTGGCGTGTTTGCAAAGACCCAATTGTAAAATAAACAGACAATGTATAGGATTTGAACTCCATTTTTTTACACTAAATGTGCAAGTTTTATGATTTAGCCTAATTGGTAACTAATATTATGGTTTCTTTATAATTACCAGTATTTATTGGTGGTATTGATGGCAGTAGTTATAGTATAAATTACACTGCTCAAAAAAATTGAGAACACTTAAATCACACAACAGCTCTCGAGAAAGGAATAGTTTAAAAGTTGAAAATCTTTACAGTGCATTGTGTAATTTGTTGAGAACAAAATTACATAAGAAGGTGTATGGTGTCCTGGGGATCAACTCCCAGACCTGGATCAGGGCGTCAATAAGCTCTTGGACAGTCTGTGGCATTTGGCGGCACTGATGCATTACATACCAGAGGTTCTCAATTTGATTCAGGTCTGGGGAATATGAGGGCCAGTCAATGGCATCAACTGCATCATCATCCAGGAACTGCCTACATACTCCGGCCACATGAGGCCTGGTAATGTCCTGCACCAGGTGGAACCCAGTGTCAGCTAGCATGTGGTCTGTGTGACCCTCCAAGAATATGCCTCCCGAGACCATTACTGACCCCCCCCCCCGCCAAACCGGTAATGCTGGGTAACATTCACCACGGCGTCTCTAGACTCTTTCACATCTGTCACATGTGCTCATTGTAAACCTGCTCTTCTCTTTGACGAAAACAGGGTGGCAGTGGTTGACCTGCCAATTCTGGTGTGAATGCTAATCAAGCTGCACAGTGCTGGGCTGTGAGCACAGATCCTACCGGAGGACGTTTTGGCCCTCATGACACCCTTATGGGGTCTGTTTCCGACAGTTTGGTCAGAAACTTGCACACCAGTAGCGCGCTGGAGGTCATTTTGTAGATACTGGTGTGGCTGCTGGGTTGATGCCCTTCTAGGACCCTGTCCAGCGCTCCTCATGTAACGGCCTGTCATGGTATCTCCTCCATGCTCTTGAGACTGTGCTGGGACACAGCAAATGCTCCTCCATCCCGGTTGTTTAATTGACTTGATACTTATGTGATGAATTCGTGTTTCCTTTTTTTTTTGAACAGTGTATTTGCCCTGGATTCGGCTGTTCTGTCTTCCTTCCATTTACTGCTCATCTACAATAGGTAACTAATAGGCAAACCTCTGTTTTCAAAACAGCTAGCTATGTGAACAGTCTCATCATTAAAATGTTAAGTGGCTTAACTTAAGTTAAACTGTTACAGAGTCTCGCACCTTAAACGTTACACTGGGTCCACATTGATATTGTAGGAGCAAACAATTGAAAAGGCAATCGTGCCGTTTTCAGCTGATCTGCCTTCAACTTCAGAATATTTAACGTCATGAACGGAAAACTCATTAAAGTAATCTTATACTGACTATTTTACGCGGATGCTGTGGCACTGCAATGTTATTATGGATAGTTCGCGGAGCTAACGTTACCAAACACCGTTTATCGTTACACATTCATATAAACGAAATGAAAATCCCATATTATTCTAAAACTTTACTTCAGCTGTATTTGTCATTTTCCTGTTCCAATGTTTTTAACATTATGGATATCACTATGTATTGTACGGCAGATAACGGACATTAAAGATTGAATAGCTAGCTTTGCTAACTTTAGCTAGCATTAGCTAGTTTAACCTCTTCGTAATGTGAACAATATCAAACGCTTAACTTACCTTTTTGGGTCGACTTTCGGTCTCCATTTTTTAATGAATGCAGTGGCTTTCTCTGCGCACTAAAGCCTCAGAGTTAATGACAAAAACAGTCGGCACACACTTAAATAAACCTACCTAATCCACATGTTTACACAACACCGGAAGCTTTAATACTGTACGGAAGGCTGTAAGGGTCAAACCTTACCGTCAAGATGCGTCCAATTATCTCAAAGGCGATTCAGTCTGGCGTTGGAGAAGCAGGTCGTGGAAATGGTATACAAATTCATGTAAACCAAACCAAAATTATGACCTTAGAAAGCAAACACCACACTTTATTTTTGTCAAAACTGTATTGTTTTTAATCTTTCTGAACGAAAGATTTTTCACAGTATCAAAAGTGAATTTAAAAAAATGAAACAAGCCAACATACACTTGGCTCTTATTGATATAGTATAAATCTACATTCGAAACATTAAGATAATCTTCTCTAATTGTATATAACCAGGAAAGCATCAGAGATGTTATATGAAAACAAAATCTCAGCACAGATTCAGGAAAGAAATGATCCATCTCAATAAAAGCCATCAGCTAAAACATGGTTACTACTGGAAATCTTAAGGCCCTTGTCCCAAAAGAATCAACTCTTAAGTGATATTTGTAATCAAAAGATAACCAATACTTGGACTTCAGATAGGCTAGCTGAGGTACAGGGTGCCAAGGTCACAGTACGGGGGGGGATATAGAGTAGTATGGTTGAAAATATCTCTCACACACACACACAACTCCCAGAAACGCATGACAAAGGCTCAAAAGGGCCCCAAATTATCAATACCTCAATATGTACAAGCATCGAAATTAACTACATCAAACAATGTGTGATGGTTCTATGTTAAAATGAACACTGCACACTGGTGTCCCTGTCACTGCTGGGATATAAGGGGTTAAAGCAAGAGTTTAAGTTAAAAAGAAATGTGGTAAAGGACTTTCTTCTACAGATGGCAGAGTGCATATTGGATATCAAAAGGGATAATTGCTCAAGAGTAACACCAAGGGAGGCCTGACACTGAAGCAGCAGATGCATTTAACTTCACCCAATACAGGACTAGAGGACAGTATTCAGATTTTTCTGTTCTACATGTCACGCATGGGAATGTATTTGCATGGGTATTAACTGGATTTATATATTTTTAAGTGTTACAGTAAATTGATATTTTTCCCCACAGGATTCTATTAGCAGTGTTGCTGTATTGAAAACATTCATGTTTTTTAACATAATTTCATACAAAAAGATAACACTGTAGCAGGTAGGTCGTCAGGTGTTTCAGTTTTCTATCTGATTAATGATGACTAAAATCATTTGATGATCACGATTAAATGCTGACAAAACGATTGCAATTGAAAACTATCAACAACCACCGAATGCACTGCAGTCTGCTTGTGAGTAAAATCAATTCAATTGTTGCCACCGTTGCTCCCTGCAGAAGAGGAGGGCACAAGTGGTCCTTTTTTGACAGTTTTAGACAAACGGTCTACAACAGAGACTGATGTCGTGGGCGGGAATTTAGCGATGCAGAATGTACTGGATGATGAGCACCAAATTGAACTGATTGGAATTCAGAAGTTTAACAACGTTAAAATGTCTCAGATTTGTGATAAAAACATTTATTTCATGTAAGGTAATTGTTTACATACGTAATAAGCACATGGATGCAGTGGATTCAACAGACTTTTCTCCATTTTTGCATCTCTCATTTAGTGAACATTGCAATAATAGCAAAGGGTAAGAGTTGGCCTTGATAATGATCCCTGGCTTGTCAGCCACAAGTTATGTTTCAGTCTTCTGAATGGAGAGTATGATTTTGACCCAGGGTCCCTTGGCTTAGTAAGGAAAAGAAGAAAACAGGGAATGAGAGAAGGCCTCAGGCCAAATAGGGCTCTACTAAAAGAGTTTATGGTGTGAAGTTCTGGCCATCATCCAAGTTATTGAGCTGCATTGGAAGGAACCTTTTTGAGGCTGAAGTTGGACCAATTCACTGCTACCTTCTGGCGAGTTTGTTTTGCAGAATCAAGGCAAAACCTAGAGGGAACGAAGAGAGACGAACAACATGTGGTGGAGGAAAAAAAACAAACAATGCCTGGTTTTAGTGATGCGGCTGTTGTTAATAAATATAACTGTATATTAGTAATAATAGTATCCTAATATACGGCTGTGTTGAGCATACCTTTTGAAGTATTCCACTTCCCGATCAATCTCATCCATTTCTGTTGGATCCAAATCTTTAGGGAGAAATACATCATCTAGGGAATAAAGATTCAACATTAGCTAAAAACATTACAAATGAAGAAGAAAACTCAAATTTTGAATAGTGTTAAAGAGAATTTATTGTACCAATGGCACTGCTGGATTTTTCACCCTTGTTCTTGTTCTTCTTATTTTTCCCCTTGGTTTGCTGCTGTTGCTGCCCATTTACTTGAATGGTGGTGTGAGCTTTGTTTTCTGAATCCTGCTCAGACCGACCCCCTCGTGTTTCCGTGTCACCTTTCCCCTTTTGTGCATTCGAGAGGCCACCATTAGCTGCATGTTTGGATGATCTGGCTTCTTCAGCTTTCCTAGGTCCATTTCTCTGGTTGTCCGCAGAGTGCTGGGACTGTTTGTTTCCAGCTTTTGAGCCGTTAGAAGCCATTTCTTTAGACTCATTGGTTTTCTGTGTTTCATTCCAGGAGGCGGCTTTGGTTGGTTTGGTGGAATTATGCTCGGACACAGATTGCTCCTGTCTTAGCTGCTGCTTTTTATTCTTTTTTGACTTTGCACCACCGTTCCCGACCGTTGTATTCTTGGGATCATAGGCGTCCTCCTTCGATTTAGCTGTGGCTTGAGCTGGCACCTGTGGCAAACTGTCACATCCAGTGGAAGTGCATCTTTCTGGGGAACGAACCCTTATGAGCTTTGAGAGACTGGGGGTAGTGTGCAACCGCTGGATGTCCTTGGGCCCAGCAGGGACCCCTGATGCTGTGGTGGTGGAATTAGGGGATGAGACAGTGGTTGTGTCCTCCCATCCATTCACCAGGTCCAGGTGGCTCTTAAAGGTTCCCAATGAAAGAGGGGCCAGGTCAAGGTCTATCTGTTGCAGGTCAGAGGAACCATTGAGATGGGACAGTAAATGATTGCCCTCCAACGTGGCTGCCTTCTTTGGGAAGTCATTAACATCCAGATTGAGGTCGTACATGCTAAATGAGGCCCGGATTGAGTCTTTGATGGTGTTCTTAATCTCTTCCAGCCGACTGGTAAGAAAACTGTTGACACGCTCGAGCTCCAGCTGAGGCCAATCAAGCAACCGACTGGCTTCTGAACCATCAGGGAGGGGCTCGTCGACAGACTCAGATGGATCGGAGTGGGGGTCACTGCCTGCAGCACCCATACTGCCCTGCTGAGCTTTTTCCTGAAACAGAAATGGCACAGGCTTGACTGTGAGAACAGGTACACACACAAAATGTAATGTCATTGTGATAATAGATAAGTAAGGCTGCGTTTATTGAACCACAATACTTTTTTGTTATTTACCAAAAGCACTGAGTATCAAAACTATTTAGTTCCTGATTTTAAATTATATTCCTTAGGACTTGATAATTATGGCTGGCATTTTTTTAGCAACAGCCATTCAACAAATTTAGATTATGCAATTACCTCTCAATATAGTAGCTGTCATTACTGGCGGAGTCCGCAATTTCCACAAAGGATTCAAATTCATGAGGGAAACGATGCATTCACATAATCCTGCGTTACTGTTTGTCATTTTATCTAGTTATATCTAGATATCAGCCTCACTGTTTATTGTTCACTATCGTTTCAGAGCTGTACTAAGTTAATGCTAATGCAAACTGAATATGCCCTACACTGCTCAAATCAAAGGGATTATATAACTATAAATCTAAATGTTGCCAATTTGAGTATATTTGGGCAAAGTTATTCTTGTGTTTAGACACCATTTGCCATACATACATTCATATTCAAATTAAAATGAAGGAAAAAAAAAAAACACTCAATCACATTGTTTCTAAAGTTACCACACCTTCTTCTTTTGTTTGTGCCGTGCCCTTTTGGCAGCCTTGGCACTGTTGACAGGTTTGGGCTCCGAACTGTTTATGAAGTCTAGCAGCTCATCCACGTCCCGGTTGTCAATGGCACCAGCAGCTGTCAGATCCGAATCTTGACGCTGAGGTAGCTCCTCTTTACGCCGGGTCAGACGTGAGCGCAGCTTCTCTCGAATCTCAGCATAGTTACGGCTTGTTGGTGCAGCTGGAGGCTGTGACCAAATAACATATTATGTCACCTTTTCATAATTTCAGCTTTTTATAAACCCTTAACAAGTATATAATAGCACAATGAACTCTTAATTACTACTTAAAAGAGGATAGCAACACATTTTTTTAATGTACCGCATTATGTCCAAAGAATTCGCAATAGCAGCAGTCGCAGTACTTCCCGTCCTTCTGGTTGGTGGATGAGGAGGCACAGGAGCTCCTCTCAGAGCTGCTGTCTTCATCCTCTCCTTCCTCCAGCTCAGACGATGGGTGGCACAACGTCCCATTAGTCATTTTGTGCCCCTTACATGCCTGGTCTCTACAAAAAAAAACAAAAACAATTGACATTATCCCTCAGAGGGCATTCATATTTGGAATAAACACTCAAAAACAGAAATGTTGAGATAGTATTACTAACCTGCATGCCCCGGCCGTCAGATGGCCTACATTTGAAGTGGCCACTGTTCCCGCACTGTGTCCATTACAAGGGTGGTTACAGCCCATGATTGATGTGCCCAGTTTGCTGTGTTGAGTGTTCACGACAGGAATGTGGGAGTTTTTGCACGGGCTGGGCTTATGGACAGATGTCGGGCTGTCTGGACTGGGAGAACTGAGTTTGGCTGAGGAGCCGTGGAGGTTTGGTACCAGCGGGGGGGAAGGGAGTGTGGGCCGCCACACCAGTGCCAGACGAGGAGGTAACATGGCTGTGCTGCCCAGAATTCGGCTTTGGGGGCAGGAGGGAGGAATGCTGGGAAGACAGCCCGGTGGGACTGTTGGGGGGTACCGACAAGTCTGTGTGTTGATGGTGGTCACTGGGGTGGAAGGCTTCACCTGGAAAATAATGGGAAACATGAATAAAATGACCTGTAGAGCACA